AAGAACTTTTGGCTCGATGCGTTGTTGCCGGACAAACTCTACTCGTAGGTGCAGCCAACATTAGCCTAACTCCGTAGCAAACTAATCTAACATTCGTCCGAGCTTCCTCGCTCCAACCGCCTTCTAGCGAACGAATGAACCATTCTGCCCAGCTTTTTCTCTCTCTTTTTTCCCCCCTCTCTCTCTCTCTCTTCCTCTCTCTCAAAAACTCACTGCTACATCCAAAACTTTTCGAGTTTTTCGCTCCTCTTCTAAAAAAAATAAAATAAAACAAAACAAAACAAAACAAAAAAAAACGCTTCTAAACATCTTGCTCGTTTTCCTCACTATTTCTATATGCATATATTCTTTTTAATTGTAAAATAATCTTTAGATAATAGACACACCTCCGTCGTTCACCTTTAATTCCGTGCACCCTGCCTTTTGCGACGACGCTTCCGCTACGCCGGCGAGTATTTTTTTTCACGCTCCTCTCTCTTTTTCTTTCTGCTTTTCCTTGCTCATAGCACGGACAATGAAACCGAGGAGTTTGTTTTATTGCGCGGCGATAGTTTTTTTCTCTTGATTGTGTAGCTTTTTGGTATGCTAATAATTTTGGTTTAATTTTTCAAAATTCTTGAATTAACTCTGTTTTTGTCCCCCCTTTTTAAAAAAAAAAAAAAAAAAAAAAAAAAAAAAAAAAAAAAAAAAAAAAAAAAACGCTTCTAAACATCTTGCTCGTTTTCCTCGCTATTTCTATATGCATATATTCTTTTTAATTGTAAAATAATCTTTAGATAATGTATCTTTAGATAATACTTTTCATTTTAATATTATAAATCTTCTTTTATAATAAGATAAGCAATTAATATTTATTTTATCTTGAATGTTAATTATTATTTTAATAATATTACCAATTCTGCTGCTTAACGTATTAGTATTAGTAAAGGATATTGTAGGCTGAATTCCATCGTAGGTGATGTCACCGGAGTTGCAGTCGCTAGCTCGGTCGTTGCTGTCCATCCTGAGGTGTCCGTAATCCGGACTGCCGTGCTGAGCTGCCGCCAGTAGAGCTGGATGCAACATAGCCGGCGGATGGGGCAGTGGAGGAGAATCCCTGAGTTCTACACCGCCACCCGGAGGACTCGCGGGTAAATGATGTGGCCCCGGAGGTGGTACTTGACCAGGATGACTCGCGTGAGGATTGAAAAACGGCGAATAGGGTGAGAATACTTGACTCTCGTGGAGGCTTGGATTTGGTATCGCTACACTGGTTGGCAGGGACACCGGCAGCATCGGTGGTGGCGCATGGTAGGGTCTCGGTGGTGGAGGAGGCGGGGGACTATCACTACCTCCTTGCGATCCGTTCCCCTCTTGCGCTAGGATTCTGGACACTGTCCTCGGAGTAATTCTCGTATCCGTCACCTGTAAAGCGTACTAATTAGTATTTCTTTTTAGGCAGACTTATCAAGTTTTCATTTTTATGTTAATTATTTAATGCAGTTTTTTGTGTAGCTATATAAATTAAGTCTATTAAATAAAAATAATTAAATAAGATCGAGGAATTATATTTTCTCGCTATAATGTTATAGATTTTAATTTATATAGTATTATCTTAAAAATAATATTCTAGATGATTTGTGAAATTAATATCTTTAATGTATGCATATTAAAAAATTGTACATTTTATATCTACATATGTATATGTATGTGTGTATATATATCAATTTATATATCAATATTTGTGTACTTTATTTATACTTATATTTATAATTTATATAATTATATTAAATTAATATATTTAATTTATATCAATTTATTAAATCTGAAACATTGTAATGTGCTTACCTTATGACGTTTTTTCTTCGGCGTCATGACAAGTGACAGGGCCTCGTTTTGCTCCGAGTCCCTGTTTTCTCTCTCGTCGTTTCTCATATTGCAATATTGATCGCGTTGTTGATGCTCTCTTTGCTGTTGTTCGCGCTGTTGTTGGTGCTGCTGTTGGTGTTGTTGTTGCTGCTGCGCCTGCATGGAGGCCATGGCGTATATCGTCGGCGGTTTTGGCGTCTGAAACATTGCAACGCTCGGCCTTGCATGCGAGGGCAGCTGATTCATCTGATTAAGGTTGTTTTCTGTGGGGCCAGCATGAGGACCATGGGGCACACCACCTATGGACCCGATTTGCGAGAACCCCGTGGACTGTGGAGGAGGGGGCCCACCGTTGAGGGGCCCCCGTGGCCCGTTTGGGCCACCGGGTGGTTGCGGCGCTCCTCTATCAACTACTTTCGTCCTGGGTGATTTTCTCTCGAGCATTTGACTCGCCAAAAGAAGGTCCTTGTTCAGCTGCTCGGCGGCAGCCTGCGCTGCCTCGGTCTGCTTACCAATAAACCTCCTCTGTTGCACGAACCTCGCGACTATACTATCAATCAAATTGGTTAATGAAGAGGTTATTTCCGTCTTCAAGATATCCGCTAAGCCTTCTAAATCGGCTCCGGTGATATGAGGACCAGACGAGCTGGCTGCCGCAGCGGCACCCCTGAAGACGTTTAACCTTTCCTGGAAGTCTTTATGTTGAATAGGCGTGTTAGCTGATTGCATCTGCGGCGTCTGCGGCGTTGGAGGTCCAGTGTTGTTCTGGCTTTGTTGTTGAGACTGGCTCGGTGGCGGTGGCGAATTTTGTCGTTGATGTTGCTGCTGCTGCTGCTGCTGCTGCTGCTGTTGCTGCTGCTGCTGCTGCTGTTGCTGCTGTTGCCTCGCAGCCGCTTCTTGATGTTGTTTCATTCTCTCGAGAGCGGCGTGCTGTTGCTCGAAGTAGAGTTTGTGTCCCATGTGATACATAGCGGCAGCTGCTGCGTGGGGATGATCAGGTGGAAGAGCTGGGAGGCCGTTATACGGCGGTGGATGAGGTCGTGGCGGTCTAGGTGGTGGTTGCGGTTGAGGCTGAGGCGGAGGACTGGGTGGTGCGTCGCCGCCGCTTTCGCTTGTATCTGGCTCCATTCTACTGGAGAGCTCCATGTATTTTTGTTGCATCTCCGCCAATTGCTCGTGCAACATTTTCAGCTGAATCTTCAAATTATCTTTCTCCTCCCGTTTCTGTCTGATCGTCGTTGGGTCTTCCTCCTCCTCACTCTCGTCCTCATCGTCTATCATAGTATCATTGACACTATGCTGAATAACGTGATGCACCGTCTGTTGTTGAGGTTGATAGAGCTTGCGCTTCTTACAACCGTTTACCGTTGCCGGCTGCAGCGCCGGGCTACTGCGCATCGTGCTGACGATATTTTCCACGCGGGCGCGTTTAATCTCCGTTGTCGGAGAACTTGTCTCGGTCTTTGGCACGATCGGACAAGGAGAGTGACTAGGGCTACGTTTGATATTTAGCGACTCTTGTATTTCTTCCTTGACGGAGACAGAGCCCGACCTTGGCGCCGTTGGGCTAGGAGGTAGGCTCTGCTCGCAATCCGATCCGTCCAAATTCGCCCCTGGCTCCATACCGGCCTCAGCAAAAGCCTCCTCCATCGCGCGTGCCGCGGAAGCAGCATCCTCAGCGCTGTCTTCAGCATCACCTGGCATCACGGTATCACGGTCACTGTGATTCGCGCTATTTACGACATTATTGCCATCACCACTCTCTTCCCCGCCACTCTGCACTGTTCCACTGCGCGCACTATCACTATTTTGTTGTTGATGCTGCTGGGGACTCTGCTGATGCTGCGATTTAAGTAATTCCGCGGTAGTGTTATTATTGTTGTTACTGTGTATACTGTTGTTATTGTTGGGCTGCTCTTGCACGCCGAGAGCGGAAAGTTTGCGGCCCTGCAGTAGCATATCGCGGAGCATGTGCTGCGTAAGGTCGGCCGTGGCGGGATCGTCGCAATTAACCACGGCGCCCGGTTGTAGATTCGAGGCGGAATCCATGCCGGCACCGGTCATCCCATGACCGCCCTCTGGCGGTGATCCGCCAGCGTCACTGGCCTGTTTGACCTGCCGTCCTAATAACTCGTTCAGCATCTTGGCGGGGCCGAAGCCCGGAGCCCCGAAGAAGCCGAAGGCCGCGTGGGCGGAATGCTGCTGGGTTGTAGGACCCGTCGTAGCTGTACCTAAATGACTTTGACTGCCAGTCGCTCCAGCCTGCTGCTGAAGCTGTTGTTGTTGTTGTTGCGATTGCGACTGATGATGCTGCTGCTGTTGCTGCGGTTGTTGCTGCTGCTGCTGTTGATGCGAGGGTGGTCCGCTACCACTAAAGATCGAGCCGTATAGACCACCACCGAGAAAGGATGGCCGGGAGCTAAAGTTCGGTATACTCGAGTAGCTGTTGCGCGGCTCGCCGGCGTCCACGCGCTGTCTGGTGCGCTTCTGCTTCTTCAGAAGTTGCTGTTGCTTGCTTTCCGTGGTTGCTCCGTAGAGGGCGAAACACTCGGTCTCCTCCTCCGATGACATCATCGGCCGTCTGGTTGGTCGGCCCCCCAAAGGCCTCCGCGTCCCCTCCCCGCCAGGGCTCCTTGTCACCCCTCCCCTTCTCGCTCGAATAGCCCCTCGTGGCTCAGCGCACTGCTTCGTCTTTTGCACTATGTAGTCTCTCCGGCTCCCCTACTACAGCTGCCTCTTTCTCTACGTTCCTTCTAGCTAATACTCCCCACTTTATTTGCCACCGACCACCCCGCTCCACTTCCTTTAGCTACGCCGTCTCCTTCTCGATCTTCTTCTTCTCCTTCTCTTCGCTTTCTGTTTCCTCCGCCGTTGCCGCCTCCTCCTCCTCCGCTTCCTCCTCCGCCTTCTCCGCCGCCGCCGCCGACGACGACGACGACGTCGGCACCCTTCTCTTTTCCTGCAAACTCCTGTTTCCTCCTCTTCTCCTTCTTCTCCTTCTCTCGCGCCTCCTCTTCTTCTTCTTCCGTCGTTCTTCGCTTTTTCTGCGCTTTCTTTTCACTATTCCTCGCCCCGCACCTTCCGCCGTGGAGCTGACGCCAACGACTGAAGCTGCTGCTCGGTGACTCGATGTCGGCCGTCCGCCTTCGTCTCGGGATGGCGGGTCTTTTTCGGAAGGGTCGATTCGTTATCGGATCTGTATCCGCTGCTGTCGTGCTTCTTACTTTTACTACGGTGATTGTTGTAACCGGGACCGCTGCTTCTGCTGCTCTTATTATTGATGCGTTTACGCCCGGTGATCGTTGCGATGTTGTTGCCGATGTTGATGATATCCAGAACGGAAGCCGGTGCTCTCGCGGGTGGAATTCTCGTGCTCCCGCCTGGGAGCTGCATCCTTCGAGCTCGCCAAAGGGCTAAGTGCCCCTCGCTCCCTCGTCTCGATTTTCGTGGCCGCAATTCTCCAATACGTCTGTAACAAAAAAACAACAGTCCATCTTAGCGATCTGTACAGACTAAACGAATCGAATGTCGCTCGTCTATATATATAATAAGAGAATCGATTCATACACTGGAACAGTAATAGCACGCCGTAGATTATTTTAAGCTCTGTATATAGACTCTCGCTTCCGTAGATAGGAGAAATACTAGACAGTGTGTACACTTGTCATTTCCCTTCTTATTACGAGCTTATCTTATTTTAACCGAATCGAATATACGGAAAGAATGTGAAAATAGGCTACTACAGATGTATGTCTTATAATTACTTTCCGTAATCGTGATTTATTGTTAATTACTTCTCAGGTATTTTTCAGGTGGAAGATACAGACATGTATTTATCTTATTTCTTTTTAATATTCCATCGTGTCACTTGTCCATGCATATTACAATGTTTCTTAAAAAAACAAAAAAAAATTGTAAAAAAAAATATATTTCTTATATATATTTCTTTTTCAAATACGGATATATTATAAAAAAGTATATGAGTTCATTGCAAGATGACGTCATGTTACAAACGCAAGAAAGAGAATGCATATAAAGTGCTATCGGTTAAAAATACAATGATCGACTACGGCGACGACGGTAACAAAGAAGAAGAACAGACCGCGGTTGACAGTTGCAAGCAATGTGTTTCACCCTCGTCCGAACACTCTGCGGCCGCTAGAAGCGAAAACTCAAAGTATAGTGAGTTACGAGGGGGTTAGCGAAGAAGGGGGTGGTTCGCCTGAGAAGCGGTCATAAGAAAATTACTTGCGTTGAATATCTTATTCGATACATAAGCAGTTCCGCCTAGAGTAGTCTCTTCGTCGGGGGATGCATACCGTCGTCGGTCGATACCCGGCGAAAGAAAGGGGCACAAAAAGTAATTGATAGTCCGCTCATTGCGCTCTCGATCATAGACCAAGCCCATCTGGCTTGCTTGAATGAGAAGAACAGTCTGCATTTCTCTGTTCATGCAACTAATCTTTATCTTTCATTTTGTTTATAAATTTTCTGCTTATTCTCTATAACGTTCTACTCTTATTTATATTATAAAATTGTAAAACGGCAATAACATTTTGTCATTATCATTACAATTATTTACTTTGTACGAAATATTGTAGAATTCTGTTGCAGTTTACACGCTCATAATCGCTCTTTATTTGTCAATGATATGGCCGGTTAGAATCTTCGATCGTCATGCAGTTCAATTGATTCGCTGCGTATAAGTGCGTAAGTGAGATGGTTGTGTATCTACACGTATGCATTACGGAACAGGGCTTGAATACAGTACTCGAGCACGTGTTCGTGCACACGTACGCGAGATTTGAAGCAACAGCTGAGCAGTTTAAAGCACCTGCGCTCAATAAGCCAACAATATTCCATAGTTCGCCTACGCATAAACTCTCTACGTTTGAGAATACTTCGATATTCATTCTAATACATAGCAAGAAATCGAAAGAATTTACAATTACAACAATCATATCACATAAAGTATTTTTTGTTGCTGAAATCAATCCTTTAATAAAAAAATATTACTGTAAAGATGTATAACGTATTAAAAAATAAGTGTATCGAATAAAGTTACGATAACTGTTGCAAAGATAAGAGATTTTTTTTGTTTATTGGAAAATTGCAAATTGCTCAACAGAAAGGCAAATTGCTGCAAGGCGAGCAAATACGCGTGTATTCGAAGTACCATCGACGTTCTTATTGCGCACTTGAATCACTATTACGTAAACGTTCAATTACGACAAGTTAACGCGTTCTCGAGCGCTTCCTCGAAGAGGAACGATCCGTTCCGAGAAATTACTAGGCAGTTCCGTTGGCAATTACTTTAGAGGGGCGCAGCGCTTGCTGCGGGGCTCGTTATTCCAGAAGTGACATATGGTGTCGACCTCGATAAGGTCTACGGGACGACGATCGTACCTGGATAGAAGGGACGCTTCGAGGGGGGTCGGACGAACTTCTGTCTTTCCTATTTTTGATCGGTACTTCCCCGTGTGCTGCCATGCGTGGGATGAGAAGGGGGAAACAAAAAGGTGCCGGTGCCCTGCCGGAAATGGCTTCAGAAACTCTCCCACTGTTGTGTCGATTCGGAAGTAAATACGACGAGCTAATTACACGCGAGCAGCATGTTCAGGAAGGCGAGTGCAGGGGGCACGAATAAGATCTTATTGCTACTATTATTTAATGGCCGATTTTTGGCAACTATTCTCAAATTCAAATATAAAGTTCAAATATAAAGTATTCTCCGTTTGAGATTTTAAATTTAAATTTTATTATCATACAATATAAAAATTCTTAAAACATATTAAAATGTAAAAATCTTAAAACGTACACAAAAAAATATATTATTATTAGTGCGTGAAAATCGATAAAAGAAAAAAATGTACAAAAGTATGTATTAATTAATAGAAACATAAAGTTATCTCTTTTCTTTCAATATCATAAAATCAGTGACTATTAGAGCGCAAGAAATACACATCGACAAGTCACCAATGACCATTTCCTGTGCGTCATACGATATTTATCATTTAAGCAGGTGGGTAGATTTCAAAGCGTGATTATAGTGCATAGTGACAGGGTCCGCAAGTAATACGTAGGATAGTTAACGCATGGGGAGCCCTCGATAGAACTTCAAGGTGATAGTCAATATTACAAGTAATCGTTTTCCTAAGTAGATGACGATACATAAAGAATCGTAATTCGAGATAATATAAGCTACGACTTACGACGTACAATCAAATTTTACAAGAAAAAAATATTCGAATAAAAAGTTTCACGATATTCTCGTATACGCGGAGTAATTTTTAGTGAACCCCTAGGAAACAACATTGAGGAAATGGAAGGAGATGGTTACCGCGTGAGCATCACATGGTGTACGTACCCCACATGGCGTCGTAGAGGTAACATAGCAATGGCATGTGCATCGGAATTCCGCCCCCTGTAAGTGTCATGTGGTGAGAGTGCTCGCAGGGGGTTGCTGCATGGGAACTCGATTGTGGTCATCAGTCCATGTCCATCGCGTATACACGCACCGCCATCGCTTAGAGGTATACGCGTATATACACGATTTTACCCTCCCAATATATAAAATTATTGTAACAATTCGTTTCGTCATTATGCCTACGACGATAGGGGGATAGGCATACCACCCTCGCCGGTAACACGCATCCCACGACCGCACAAACACGTCCATGCGCGCGCGGTCTTGGCTAAGCGCAAACGTGTACACGCGCACACGTGCAAGCGAAATGTACGCTGAGGCTGAGGTACTCACACGCGTCGTCGAGGTACGCACACGGCAGCGCATTGTGTACATACACACACGATTCACACGCGTTCAGCATATTATCGGCCTGCTCTGATGCAACAAGTTGACCGGGTGTCAATTGATGTGTTATTAATTGGAGGTTAATTGCGTTAATGCGCTGCCGACCCCGCCTCTCTGTCGTCTACCCGCTCTCTCCCACCCCCGACGCCCACCGCACCCGCCTTCAACGAGCCCCACTGTTTTATTATTATTTTGCATTCGAATCGTTTCGATTCAACACACACTGGCACGCGCCCAAACCAAACTGGTGTGAGATAGAGTGAGAGGGCGAGAGAGAAAGAGCGAGAGCCGAGCTGGGAGGTCGCGAGGCAGAAAGAGCGCGAGAGAGCATTTAAAAGCGGCGGCCTGTCACCGATTTTCATAATTCACAGCTCGTTAAATTTGTTTCGCTTTTTGCCCCGCTTTTCGCGGTTACGCGCCCCGACGCCATTAATCTACCTTCGGTCGTTTTCAATGAGTTTAATCGCGTTTCAAAAACAATGTGGGTCAACGCCACGCTTGTGTTATTCCTGACACGTGAGCATGACCTTCTCGCCGTTTTCATTTCGATTTCGGTTCCCATTCATGCTGTTATAGATACTACGCGATAATGAGCGCCAGTGTTTTTTAAATGTTTGCCATTGCTGCATTTTAAGTGACCTGCATTTTATATTGTGTTACAACAAGGTACAAGGAAAATGAAAGGGAGAAATTCTATAAAGATACAATTGAAAATATATATATGAAAATTAAATTTCGCTCTCTATCCCCGATATACATTAAATTTTAATTACTTGTTTGACAAGTAATGAAAAGATATTGGTTTTTTATGCATTTTAGTAGAGATAATAAAATTCTATAGAAAATTTTTGGTTCATAGACAGATGAATGGACTTACATCTTGAGAAATTAAAGAAATATGAAAAATTCAATGGTATTTCATGTGAAATTGACGGTCGTCAGAAAATTTCCCAAGATGCGATTGCAAATCTCTGAGACTTGAAAAGCACGATCTTCGATATATTCCCATGACTTCTCGCGGTGGGAAACACCAACGTCTGATATTGAAGGCTACAAAAATTTCTGTGACGCCCTTCGTTCTCCCTCAGAAAAGGAAGTAGGAACAACGGTCCTTGCCCTCAATGGCGTGGACGATGAGTTGTGGCATCAAAATCGAAAACTGCGAATTTATGTAATTTAAAATAATCGCACTTTTGTTTAATGATTTATCATATTAATTTAATGGTTTACAGGATCAATTACGCTGGCCAATTTCACTTCTGTATTTATATTTATCTACGAGTATCGTATAAAACTAAAATCAATAAAGCTTGTTAAAGCCGTTTATCAGTTAAATTTCATTAATTTAGACATCGTTAAAAATTCATCATTTATGCCTGATTTAACAGCGTTTGTAAATGATAAAATAATTATCTAATAACGTTGTTATACAAATGGTTTAATTTTAAATGTATTAAAACAAAATTTTTTTTTTTTTTATAGAAAGACTATAATAGAAAAAGAAATACAATAAAATTAAACAAAAAATAAAATATTATTTAGGAGGAAAATCTCTCAGTGAAACATAATTGAAACATTTAAAGCCAAGAAATTCCCCCGTTATCGACGACACTGCAAGATCAAGAAGGCCCCCTCGATAGCATTCAGGTGGTTCG